TCGTGCGTAGCACGGGCTTTGACAAATTCTGCTCCATCTCTTTTCTTGTTTTTCTTTCGTCGTTTTATTTAATTAATTTATTTTAATTAATTTTCTTTATTTTCCGAAACACACCCAACAGTTTTCAGGGTCATTTCAGCCGTACGATTAATTAATTTAGATCTAAGCCTTATACACTTCATTCTTTCTCTTCCCATGTCTCATCGTTTTCGAGCTCCAGCTTCGATCCTCATCATTCTACCTCACCACCGGAAACCAAATCACTCAAAGGCACATGTTCGTCTTGCATTCGCATTTCTTACCTTATATCTTATCGCTGCTCTTATTCCTCTCCTGCTCCACCAATCAAACCTACCCAATTCATGCTTTCTCCCTCACGTACCCCTTTATCTCTTCGCTCTTGGCTTCTATTTGCTTCTGGGTTTTGCCAAATTTTCTGAAGAGGGAAAACCTATGTTGGGAAGTGGAGTGTGTGGCGGAATCCTTCTGGAATGGTGAAGCAAACATGAAGGTTACAATCCAACACTTTTGTGATTAGCTTTCCGGATCCCTAAATGGTGAGTTTGATTAGAAGATTATAACTTCGGTGAAACTTTAGAGAACCATTGATTAGAATCTTTCCGTCTAAATTTTCTGATTGTTCTTTTGAGTTTGATTATTCAATCTCACATCATATTGGATTTTTGTATTTCAGACTACGACTCCTTTGTTGCTTGCATTTAATTAATTTTTTATTAGTTGTTTTTGTTTAAACTTGCTGCATATGATTTGGGGTTGCTCAAAATGATCTGGAAGTTTCATTCCATCTTAAAGTTACATTCATATTTTGCAGATTTTTGAAGGTTGAATACAAAAAAGTAAAAAATCAAATTTAAAGGTGCAAAACTCCACACCAATAGCAGACTTTTAGTAAAGGTAGGTTGAGATATGTTTCATGAGAGTTCCTGATCGCTTTCTTAGGATTTGAGATATTAAAAATTGATGATTTTAGTTCAAATTCACATATGGAAGGTGCATATATATGTAAGTGTCTATACTAACTCTATTTGAGTCTGCAGATGTCTATTAATAATCAAATTGTAGCATTATATTCAGATTTACTATTCAAAACATAATAGAAGGTTCAAACTTCAAATTAGTGATAATGTTAAAGAAGCAGTTAAGTGAGTAATCAAAATTATGGAATTATGCTTCTTCACAATCAAATTTAATATTTTCCCATTTACTCTTATTTTCTTTTTCTATAGCACTTCTTTCTCATATTTATGCATTTATTGAAACTAAATTTTTGCTTCTTCTGTTCCACATGGCAGGAAGCTAATATGGGATTCTTCCACCCTGATTGGCAGTTATTGTACTGTAGTTATTAGGCCATCATCAAACTAATATTTACTCTTTCACACATGGTCAAGGTGGAAATAATGTTTTTTTTTTCAAAGATCAAGTATTTCCAACTATGTTATTATGTATTTATGTATGCTTTATCTTTTTACTCCATACAGGGACGTTCTTCCTAGAAGCAGAATATGCTCTCTAATTTGACATTCTTCACATCTTCCATCTGGCATTCCTGTAAAGAAAGCTAACCCAATTCTCCATGCATTTTCAGAAATGAAGAAGGGAGGGTAAAGTATTATATATGGTAAACTACTAAACTCTCCAACTCTGTTTTGAATTAATTGTTAATCTTAGTCTTAGTTTTATAAACTCTCCAACTCTGATTCATTGCTTAAATAGGTTATAGTATTAATATTAGTCTTAATTTTATGAGCTACTCTGTAACATGGTACTCGGTAAAAGTTACATATAGTACGTATATGCATAACTATATACACAATTGTTAGTGATAAGTCCACAATCATATATTCATATATTTCCTAAAAAATTGTAAGGAAAATGAGATATATAGGAGCATTTCTTTTGTGGTTTGATAAGTTCCAAATGAACTTTTTTTACATGTCAGGCAGTGAGCTATTGGTGAGTTAGCTGCACTGTATAAGTTGTTACATGCTACTAATTTTTCTCTATCTGATTCTTCTTAAATGGAGAAGAATTAAGCTCTTTTCCCTCAGTGCGTGTCTCTCCTCTTTATTCATACGTTCTTCGGTTCAATATTCCTCTTCAGAATTTAGTTTTCTACTAATCACTTTTCTTTCTTGTGTTTTTCTTTCCTGTGTTTTATTATCCTTTTATCTTTATGTATATACTCTTTTTATCCATTTTATTCTATCATTTTTATTTACTCCGTCTATCTTTTTCTTTTTATATTATCTTTTTATCATAGCTTATCTTTTTATATTTCTTTTCCTTTTGGTTCAAAATTCAAATATCATGTATCGATTAATGTTTGCTGACTGCGAATTCTTTTTGGACTAAGGCTTGGATGTTATTGTTGTACTAATCACTTTTCTATTTTGTTTTGTTTTGGATGTCTTAAAATTTAGGATAAATTCGGAACAAATTCTCTTTCACCCTTCCTCTATATTCATGCATATTATAGACAAACGTTATGTTCTAGAATTTTTTTCTCTTCAACTTTTAGTTTTATTATTATTTTAAATTATTTTCAGAACAAATTTGTATTGATGAATTTCAGTATATGGATAACCTGAATTCCAACCCTACTTTATTATGATAGGGATCTTTAAGCTTTCAGTACATCAAATTTTCAATGGGGGCTTTGGTATTCAACCCACCCAAGGACGGGGATTTCCCAGTTTTTAGAGAGGAAGAGCATGTGAAGAAATGTCAACATGGTGCTCCAACTCAACTACAAAATTGAAAGAAATCCTCAAGTGACTACTTTCATCTCTTCCTATTTCAAAATACTCTCAACCCCATCTCTTTTGTTTTTACTTTAGGTGACTTTGATTTCGTTTTTATTCAACAAGTAATATCGCATTGAGCAGCTAAAGCACTAATAAATTTAAGATTGCATTGAGCAGTTGATGCACTAAAGCACGCTCTGTACTGTCGTTCAAGCAATACATATCAGAGAAAAAGTCTATAATAATATAAATAAACACAATAGTCAAATTTTGGAGTTATCTTGTGAAATGCGAAAAATACCGTCATGCAGATTGCAGGAGGGTGAAGGAATCCAACCGGTGACAAATGCCATACTAGCTGGAATTTTCAATGATCTAGATAGTGGAAGCAAATTGTATGATCTGCTTCAAGAGAATTTTTACCATAGTGCTGATGGCAGAGTCCCCGCTTAGGACAAATATTAATGTGTAGTTGGAGATGATGTAGTTAGTTTAACAATACCCTTGACTCTTGATACATCATTCATGTAATTATTTTCCTTTTCTTTTTTGTTTATTTACTTTTCTGTTGAAAGAGTATTGCGATGCATTTGCAATATCTATACTTTTCTGACGATTAAATATCAATAATGAGTTTTTTATCTTTTTGTACTCATGAAGAAATTGTCGAGCGAAACTTTGAGTACATTTGAAAAAAGTGCATACATGGATGATGAACCCGCTCCATCCAAATTCCAAAATACATGCTAGGAAAGTAGGAAGAAAGTATCCTATATATATATAGCAAATCATCATACCATAAAAAGCTAAAATCGACGTGAACGTCAAAACACCGAGATTAGACCACAACAACAAGGTCTTTTAAGAGTTATATTAATGAATATTTTAATATTATTCCCACGTTGGATAGTGTTAGTAAACTCAGTCTCAAGCCAGAATATGTTAGATCAGCCTTAAATAAACCAGATCATACTAAATTAGATTAGATAAAGTTTTAACAATTGTAAAATACACATGTAATAGACTTAAATTGTTTATATTGTATAGACTCATATGGAATTGAGTAAATGTCAGGTGAGTTCTTATGACCGAATTTATTCCTTGATTGACGTTTGAATCTCATTCGCAATTACGTTTGAACAATTTATATTGTATGCTTAGCTATGCCATGACAACGTGAGTTCCTCCGTTCTTGATAAAAGTTGACATCTTTTAACGTCATAAACATTTGTAATTGGTAAACTCTAGACTATAATGCAATGGACATTAATGTATTCAAGAACATGCATTTCCATAATCATGAGTTATTTTTTATTTTTAGCACTTCATTTAACCATAAAAAAATTAATTAATGCATTTACTACGTCGCGGTATACAGTATACTCACTCGACAAACCAATATGTATGTGCGATGTTACATATTACTCCCTCCTACCAGTATAGAACTTGACATTTGCTTTTGGCACAGTATTTTACGAGCTCAATTAATAGGAGAACAAATGTCTTCAATGTCCTTTGACCGTTGGGGTAATTAATGCTATCCATTCAAATGTAAAAAGTGGGTGAGTAGTGAAGGGTAATTACGAGTTTAGGACGACATTTATTTAATTTAAAAGGAGTTGCCTAAAAATGTTACGTAAAAGAGTAAATGGGATGTCCCAAAAAGGAAAATGTAACGATTTAAATGGGTCGGGAGAGTACATTTTCAATTATATTACTACCTCCGTCCCTTTTATATTGGGACGGAAGAAAGTGGCATCAGTTTTATGAAAAGTGGGTTTGTGTGGTCAAAATTAATTGATTAAGTAAGAATAAAGTAAGAATGATTTTGAGCCACACAATCTTTACTAGATATGGTATGGGACAATTTAACTGGGATTTCCTGAAAAGCTAAAACGAGACAATATAAATGAGATGGAGGGTTTATTAATTAATGCTATGTTTAGGTATTACATTCCAATTAAAAATATCATAATTATACTAATCCGTATAACACTTCATCCAAAAGTGATAATATATTAATCCGTATGTGTTGCTTTTTTATCACATTTTTTAAATATATTTTCAAACAACTTATTGCTTAATAACTGCATTCCGTGCAACGCACGGGTAAAAATCTAGTATTGTCAAGTGTTGTACTACTAAAAAACAAAAAGAAAAACAGAGTATTGGTTTAGATTTTTTTATGCAAAGAGTTATAATGTTGTACTTCATATGTAGTTAAGGTTTTACCATAATACCCTTCAGTTGGATCGTTAAGGTGGTCTTGCGCAAGTTATTCCTATTGACAATTAGGTCGGCAAGCTCTGGGATGTAGAATCCTATTAAATAGGCATAACCATAACAAGATTATTTATGTTTCTGTGATAATAAATAGTCATCATATTGATATGTAAGACCTATATTTATGAGATTGTAAATTTCACTCCTCAATTGTCCCAATTGTTGTAAATGTGGTCCTTTAAATGGTGAAATGTACTCATCGCTCATTCGCCCAAATTGTACATTTCACCCCTCAAAGGATCATATTTACAGTAATTTGAACAATTGAGGAGTGACATTTACAAGCTGGGGAACACGAGTCTGACACTTCAATATGATGACTATTTCAGAGACTAAAAGTGAGATTTTCCCTTACAATAACTTAAATAAAAAAGGTCTCCTTAAGATGGAAGCTACCTGCATAGCTTTCTCCAGCGATATATAAACTTCTGGCCTTGTATTGTGGGTATCTCTTGAACCAATTTACTATGAACTTGTAGGAATCTTGCGCTATCACACAAATTAAGAATTCAATAAACAAATATACGGAGATTGAGAAAAAATGTGTGTTAATTAAGTCCTTTGACTATAAAATTGACTTTTTAGAATGAATCTCGATATCGGTATTTACCAGTTTTCTTGTCTCCCGACTTTCCATAATCGGCGGACGTATTGGAATAAGAGAAACCAACCCCCGCAGGTGACTCCAGAAATGACACATTTGCAACTACAACATTGCAATTAACAAGTAAATGATACCTTGAAATAATTATTCAAGTAGGCAGATTAAGTAATAAGAGTGCTAGTTCAATGAATGTTCTCTAAATAAATTTTATATTTGAGTACCTTTATTCCACGCATATCTTCTAGGGTAGAGGGTTTTTCCATCAGGGTTGACGCCAAAAGGTCCAAGCTCTACAAAGGCACCCATCCCAAGTGATGAACAACCAGGACCTGCTTGGTTAAATTCAAAGATACACAGTGAATTGGGTGTACCTAGTCAAGACTATTAATTTGAATGTTTAGATTTTTATCATTTACATAACATGAATGAATGAATAAATAAAATAAATAAATAAAGGAAATCAGGTAATCAATTCAAACCAATATTAACTTATAACTACTGAACTTTTTTTTCTACATTAATGTTTACTTTTCATCCATATTCCTTGTATATTTTATTCCCTTTTTCTCAAGCACTTTCTGGATTCCAATTAAATAGACCCTAATAGAACTATATTTTTAAATATTTATGATCTACTTTTTTGTATACATGTTTTAAGTGAAAATAATAAGAAATTGACAATTAAAAAACAGTTTATAAGAATGTTATCTTTAATTAATGGTCAAAGTAGGATAAAGCTACTTGAGGAAACTAAAGCAGATGATAAAAAACTTGGAAAATTTATCTATTAAGAGCCCGTTTGGTAGCATGAAAATCTGCTGAAATTTCTAAAGTTCTGACTGAAGTGGCTGCATTGGCTGATTCTCTTGATTTAAGAAAAAACTATTTTTAAAATATATTTTATTAATAAAATAAAGAAAAAAAGATCACCTCCATTAAGCCAGAGAATAAGAGGCTTGGTGTCAGGACTGTCAACAGATTCAACAAAGTAATAGAAAAGGCTTCTGCCATTCCTTTTGTCCACATTCACATAGCCTCCATATTGCTTGAAACTTGATGGAGGCTGCCCGGGAAGGCCGCCCAGAATCAGATCTTCTTCTTTTGTTCTTCTCTCCACTTCTGAAAAGGATTCCATATCTTCATCGCCTTCGTCTACATCTGTAAAATTTGCCTCTGCCCATGGCTTAGAATTCTCAAAGAAGTGTTGAGGATACATTTTAGCATGCTGCAATGACATTAGCATCCGGACTTGATCTCTTTTATTTTCACCATGTCCGAATTCAAAGAGTGTTACTATGACAAGGATAATTGATAATACATGTAGTTTTGTGAATAATGAGTCTTGTTGCTTCTTCTCCATGGATGAATTGTTAAAGAAATACTCCGTATGATCGTATGAGTCTTTTAGTTCTACTTATAGATAAAATTGTTCCTCAAATGTTTAAAACATAAGACCTTGGAGTGACAGCTCTTCTCTAATAGTACAAAAGCCGCCACTTAGAGTGGCGGCTCTAAGGCCCAGTAGTTACCACACTAGCTTATTCAACTGAAAAACACACACAAAAACTTGCTCAATATTATACAATCAACTCAAAAACATCAAACAACTGCTATTTATAATCAATATAGAGCACTAAAAAACAAAATATATCTGAAACACACAACGAGTCTATGAACTACATTTGATCACAGTACTAGAAATATCACATAAAATTGAAAACAAATCCGATGTTTCAAAAAATAATTCGATCAGCTAATTCATGTTTATAACAATAATGTAAAGTACAAATATCACAAGTCAACGTGATCATCATCATAAGCCTCATGTGGATGTGCTTGTGCCTAAGGTCGGGGACGTCTATGCTGATTATGAGGCTGAAAAATCACTCCATCACGTCGTAGTGCATGGGAAGACCCTGCTGTGGATGTAGATGTCGTGGAATACTTAGAAGCGGCCACATATTCATGGATAGTATGCAAAGCACATGTCTGTAATGGTTATTAGTGATACAACATGAATAAATAAATAAATAAATAAATAAATAAATAAATAAATAAATAAATAAATAAATAAATAAATAAATAAATAAATAAATAAATAAATAAATAAATAAATAAATAAATAAATAAATAAATAAATAAATAAATAAATAAATAAATAAATAAATAAATAAATAAATAAATAAATAAATAAATAAATAAATAAATAAATAAATAAATAAATAAATAAATAAATAAATAAATAAATAAATAAATAAATAAATAAATAAATAAATAAATAAATAAATAAATAAATAAATAAATAAATAAATAAATAAATAAATAAATAAATAAATAAATAAATAAATAAATAAATAAATAAATAAATAAATAAATAAATAAATAAATAAATAAATAAATAAATAAATAAATAAATAAATAAATAAATAAATAAATAAATAAATAAATAAATAAATAAATAAATAAATAAATAAATAAATAAATAAATAAATAAATAAATAAATAAATAAATAAATAAATAAATAAATAAATAAATAAATAAATAAATAAATAAAGTCGTTCATGTGAATATATTGTGTGCCGTCAAATGAAGAATGACTGAGCCAGGCTAGTAATGGCCGGTGGGTAGACGAAAACTGGGAGAGATGAACACATGTGTGATGGTGTGATACCATCTCATGTAATCTGCAGAGACTATGGTGCATCCCCCAATCTTTTGGGGTCCTGTCCACTATATATGTCGCTCTCTCATCCCACATGGTGATATACTGAATATGGTGCATCCCCCAATCTTTTGTGTGCTTCCCTCATCCGTCGATCTTGTGTAAGTCCACAGAAGTATCACAAGGTAAGGGAGCACCCTGTTGTAACCTGAACTGTCGTAGTACGCGATTAAGAAAATGATGCTCTTCTACATCAAAACAAATCAAGGGCACATGTGCTCGCCATGTCTTAGTGTGCTCTCGGCCAACAGAGGGCACCTGTCATAGAATCTCATGGGTGTATGACATCCATGTCATCTATAATACAAAATATTATGACATCATTGTTTATAAAAATGTAAAACAAAGTAGTTAGACTTAATGGTATACAGGGTATACGGTATACCTGATCATCACACATGTCATTTAATGCATCTCGATAGTACCTTAACTCGGTAGCGAATGACGTGCGACTGACGTCAACAAAAAGCCATCTGACACAGTGATTTACAAGAATATTAAATGGATTCCAGTACGGCATACGTAAAATAAAATAAATATTAAACAAAATTCATAAACATACCTACAACCTAAAGGATACTCGCCATGAACATGTTGTGGTCCAAGTACAGATCCAAAGCATCATGAAGAGGACCACCATCTATCTCATAATATCGCAGTATGTCAAATCTACCAATATGAATGTGCTCCCACGACCATAGCTATATGAGCCATAAAAACCACTCATCTCGCCACCGCAACAATGGCAACCTGCCCTCGACACAACTGCCGATATAGGTATGCTAAGGTCACACTCCCCCAACTATATAGCACTGCTACATCAAAAGTCTCCTGAAGGGGGGTAATAAAGAACTTGCACCTCATTACCGCTCTTGACCGCAAATGTAAAGGCTCCCATGAGCATCAATATGTAGGCTGTCGCGTACTGCTGCACAACAACGTCATCAGCATCAACAGGTAAAGCAAAAAAATGTGGTCTCAACCAAGGCATCCTCAAGGTGGACCCCCGAATATCTGCCACAGGTTGTGGTCGTACTCCCAACAATCTCTGTGCCTGGCACAAGCAATTAGCACAAACGCTCCCGACATCAAGCACAAGCACAGGCACATGAGCTTTATGATGATGATCACGTTGACTTTTGATATTTGTACTTTACATCATTGTGTTAAACATGAACTAGCTGATCAAATTATTTTTTGAAACATTGGATTTATTATCAACTTTATGTGATATTTCTAGTATTGTGATCCAATGTAGTTCATTGACTCGTTTTGTGTGTCAGGTATGTTTTGTTTTTTAGTGCACAATATTGACTATAAATAGCAGGTTTTTGTGTTTTTTTCGGTTGAATAAGTTGGTGTGGTACTGCAAGAGAAGAACCATTACTCCAAATGAAGTTTTTGTACTGTAAGAGAAGAGCCGTCACTTGAAGTGGCAGCTTTTGTACTATTAGAGAAGGGCCGCCACTTCGAGTGGGGGCTTTCATTAACCATAATTAACTCTAGCAGTATTTTAAAAATTATTTTTAATTCAATAGTATTTTAAAAATTATTTATTTAATTAGCATTGTTTCAGGAAAAACTCATAATTACAGATAATTTTTCATACATTATGGCACATTCTTAAATTGTAAATCACTATACACATACACTATATTGAATTTTGAGAAAGCATGGGTGGGCTCCTTAATGAGGTGATATGAGTTTTCTCGCACTTAAAAAGATTGTAGGATAGTGGTGAAAAGTACGAGTATCGTCTCCACAGGGACGGACAAAAGGGAAATAATTAAGAATTAACTAAATTCAGCGATTAAAAAAAGAAAATAAAATAAAAAACAATTGTGCGGGATGAATGGCTGAGTTGATTTGAAATTAAACTAATGCGAATGAACGATTAAATAAAAGTTTGTTTTCTCTCTAACTAACGACGAAGGGAAGAGGGATTGATTCCGGGGTAACCAGATTTCTGGCAGATAAGGCCTAATTATTACTAAATTAATCATTACTAAGTTCTTACCGCTCTCGCAGCGTAGAGTACAATAATTTAGGAGACCAGACTAATCTCTCATGCGACAGGAATCCTAAATTATTGTCAAGACGAGCGAGCTTACGGCCCCTTAATCGCTACTAATCTCTTAGTGAACGATTAAGTGTGTGTGAATGTGTCCTAGAACAAATTAGATCTCTCTTAATTCATTCTACGTGCAATTGTAATTCTAGCTGCAGTCTAGGTTACAAGAGATATCAATTAAATTACTCAAACACAAAGTAAACGACATTCATGTAATTAAACCATCAAGAATATAGCCATACATGCATCATGATCAACCCCTTCATCAACCCCAAATCCCTAATTAAACTACTCACAATTGTAATTCTAGCTGCAGTCTAGGTTACAAGAGATATCAATTAAATTACTCAAACACAAAGTAAAAGACATTCATGCAATTAAACCATCAAGAATCTAGCCATACATCATGATCAACCCCTTCATCAACCCCAAATCCCTAATTAAACTACTCACAATTCATAATTGAAGAATCAACAGAATTAGGATGAATAGAAATAATTGTCATTAATTAAAAAGATGAACGTACAAATAATCTCAGGGTCTTAGAGTAAACAATGATAAAAACGCAAGTAATTTCGCCCATGGGACTCTCCGTAATGTTCGTAACTCTTAAACAGGAGAAGGGAGGCCTTATTTATAGAAAACAGATTAGTTTGGGCTGAACTGGGACTAAAACGGGGCTGAAATCCGCGTTTCGGGTGCACGCACGATCGTGCGTCCCCTTCCACGCACGATCGTGTATGGCTGGCAGTAGCCTCCTTTCTTTCTCGCCTCGGATGCACGATCCTTGCTTTCATGAAGGAATTCATTCATGAAAGTTGTAGCTAATGAAGTCTTCTATCCACCACAACTTGCAGAATTGGATTTCAATCATTCAATCAAGAGATATGAATACAATGGTGGAAGGTCGCATTCTGAAATCGCAACAGGGATCATCTGACTTCATTGTCTGTTTTCACCTTCTTCCTCTCATATTCTCGCAAAGGTGTTTTAATATAATTTGTATCCCTTGAAGTTAGCTCTCATGTGGAACTTGAATCGTGTTCTTTGGATGTTTCTACAAGGAGATATGCTTGAACGATTGACAGAAGGTCATCCTGATCGTCATTTTCAAGCTCTATTCGTCTTCTTTCGATCACGTAGCCAATCCTAGAGCTCTTTTGTCATCAAATCTTAATCGTAAACCTACCGGTGACCTCCAAATCTCTCAATCCACTCTCGAATGCTTCTCAACCTATCTCGATCGCTTCTCAAGCGTCGGTGCTGGGCTCAAATTCCCTGATTTTGACTCCAAAGACTTAAAACTCGAACCAACGTCTGGTAAACATAACTTGAACTAAAATTGAGACTTGTAACACCTTAAAGCTAGAAAAATCATCACAAGTCGATCCCAACATGCATCAAATGCGTGTCTAAATACAGACTTATCATGAGGTAATCGACATTACGGCATTATGCACTACTACCTTGTTAATTGATTCTTTAGATTACTAACTCCATTTAAATTATCTACTAGAAATTTGAAAATCATCCTTTTATTCACGTTTTAAAATTAAGTTTTAACATTCATCTCAGGAATTATGTAGAGCGGTCGTCTCCCTAACAATTAGGGTTGGTAGTGCGAAGCTTTGCGTCTTTCGTCGGTTTCTAACATACAAGGAATCTGTCGCTCTAGGCGATTCCTTTGCTTCAGCGTTGGCGCTTTGTTTTATTAATTTTGCAGGTATAGCTTTTGTTTCGGCTGTGTGGGTTACTAGAAATATACTGCAGTGTTGCAGTGTTGCAGTGATTTTGTCGAATGAGTCACGCACAATCCGGACGGGTTATGGTCAAGACGGAGATGGAGGAGATGGTCAACAAATGTGATAGCATGATTCTCGAGGGTGCTGAGGATGATTTGGTTCTGGACGAGGAGGTCGCGGGCGAGGAAGAAGCTTTGTACAGGAGCCTACGGGAGAAAGAAGACGAAGAGATGTTGATTCGTCCCCCTCCCGAACCGCCGCAATGGAAGAATTGTGCGACTGGGGTTTGGACGACTATTTCTATTTCTGTTTTACTAAGTTTGTGTTTTGACTTCGAACTACATGTTGTTTTTGCTGTTATGTACGCTTATTTTTGTCAGACTCTTGCATTAGGTTGAAGCGATGAGGGGTTTACTCTAACCATGTTAGGCTCATTTAGATCCATTATACGATCAGTGAGTTTATTGATTTTTTCTGGGTTGACTCTAAGGCTGGTTCGAGGGTCGATGGTTGGAAGTGGTCCTTTTATCTTCTTGTTTCCTGGCTGTATGCTTTGATATCAATTTAAGCTGACTTGTTCCGGACAAAAAAAAACATATGTTTTAACAATATTCAATCGAATGAAACTATTTAGTTTTTGAATGACATGACAAAAAATGAGAAGAAACTGATATGATCGATGAATGACAAAACGAAGAGTATCATAAATTACTGAATTGAAAAATAAAAAAGTTTATAAAATGATAGACGTAAGAAAATATGTCCCTATAGGGGTTAAGATTAAATCATACTCCGTATTTAATTATTTAGAATCCAGGATATGTGCGCTTAATGATTTCACAGAGACTGATTTTCTCATCTAATTAGTGGATGTCTTATTGACTTATCCCATGGCTAATTTTTCAAAGATTCTCGGTAGTGCTCCACATTGACATAATCTTCTTTTCTTTTGTTGTTTTTTTCGATGATGCTAGAAACTCTACTCATTGTTTAATAGTGTATTAGATGAATCGAGTCTCATGGTTATAATAGGCAAAGGACAATAATTAATTGAAATAAGGATATGATAGGAATGTTTATAATTTTAGTGACTTTAATTGAGTGACCATTATATGAAATTTATTAAAAGTAGTTGCTCTAAATATAACTATAACATAGATAAAAACTCAAATTAAGACTTCATATGTTTTATTCCTAATATAGGTGGGAGTAGCACTTATTGAAGACAAGATGCGGAGGTCGCTCCTACGGTGGTTTCGTCATGTGCATAGGAGACCGGGTGATGCACCTGTCAGACGTGTTGAGATGTGTGGAGAAGAGGCAGGGAAGAGCGGGAGAGGAAGGCCCAAACAGACATGGGTTAGTGGAGTCCGAAGTGATATATATGCTTCTTGTTGGGTTGGATGAGGATATGGCTTTGGAGAGAGCAAAGTGGAAGGCGGGTATTCGTGTGGAGGAGTGATCTCGTATTATCTTTTCCCCTCATCTTTGTTTCATGTTTTTATTTCTTGTTTTTTATCCTTTTATCCTTATACATATATAATGATTTTTTTATCCTTTTTATTTTATCATTTTTAGGTATATTCATCTCTTTTTACATTATCTTTTTTATCTTTATTTTCTTTCTTTTCCTTTTGGTGGTGATGCATCGATTCATGTTAGCCGATCCCAATATCTTTTTGGGACTAAGCCTTGGATGTTGTTGTTGTTGTTGTTGTTGTATAGGAGTCATTCGCTCATATTGTTAAGACTCAAGATTTCATCCTAAAAGGTCAATCCTGTTAGGATGAATAGCTCACATCTTAATATAGTACTCTATGACTTCTTAATTTTACCGGTGTGGGACTTTAACACTCCTCCTCGCGATCATTTACTTCGTTTGAATCGTGTAGTCATTCATTTTTTTCATGAGTTAGTCATTGTCATTTTTTAATAATAATCATCCTCATTTTTCATAAGGGGCCCACATCACGTTTATGGAGATGACAATTGCATATATAAAAACATGATACTCATTGAAAAAGTCAAACGGATATTATTTTTACTCTTTGAAAATGTCATACTTTATCTTGAAAATACAAAGTATGTCATCTTGATAAATGTAATGTCAAGACAGTGGCATTTTCTCAAATCACCGTTCAATAACATAGCAATTATGGCATTTTCAGGTCCAAATGGTGAGAGAAATAGTATGAATGATTTCAAGTGAAATATTAGATGAAATTTCAAAAGAGAAGAAAACAGATTAACGGTGGAAGAAAGAAAATAGAGAAAGGGAGGAAGAACAAGAAGAGGAGGAAGAGCTTGCCTGGGAAAGTAGCAGAGGAAAACTTTGCAGAATAAGCATCCTTTAGCCCAAGCTTCGCAAGTCGCGAACGCAAGAATAGTGGCTTTAATTTGCAGGGCAATTTTGGTATTCCACCTATATTTTAATCATATGCCGGTATTACATGGAAAAGTGATAGTCCTACGAAGGAATTTTTCATAAGATTTTTTAGTCCTACTTAATTAGGTATATCTATCTCTCCTTTTATAATCAATTATATTATATTCTACATTATAGTGACTATGTATAGTAACTATAATAATATTTTGGCCATGAAATATATTTTCATTGACATTTAAACTTCCATGGGACTACATTAACATCTTTCTTTTTATTTTTGAAAAAACACTATTTAATTATTACTCCCTCCGTCCCCTTAAGTTTGTCCCGTTTTACCTTTTTCGTCCGTCCCACTAAGTTTGTCTCATACCATATTTGGTAACATTTGAGTGGTTAGAATTCATTCTTACTTTATTTACACTTTATCAATTCAATACCAACCACACAATTCCACTTTTTCTTAAAAACCACACCACACCCCTCCGTCCAAAACTTAGGGGGACGGAGGGAGTATTAATCATGTCATGGTTCAAGAAAATAGTAATACAAGACGGAAAACTAAATAGTCAAACACAGCGGTCAGGCATAGAAGCACCAGCCCTACCAAGATCATGGGTCGTTCGATTCACAGACGGTCTCACATGAGAGAATGAACACTACAAAAAAAAACGGGATTGACAGAGATTTTGGCATGGATTTGGCACGGATTTTGGCAAGGATACGCCAAATCCGTGCCAAAAACACTTTGGCACGAAAAATTGATAAGTCCGTGCCAAATTCCGTGATAAATATCTCTTATATCATCAATAAGAAGACCCATCGACGAGTCATACATGCGCTCCAAATTTTAAGCGAGTTATAACTTGAAAAGCGTCTGACTCAACTTCAACCGCCCGCATTCTTGAGCCAACTCAGTGCCTCTCTCATGGACAGAGCCTCGGCCACCTTGGATTAGAACACCGGACTCAAAAATCGGGCACTTTAAGTAGAAATACTACGTAGGGTGTTGTACATACCATACTATATAAAAAAATTATTATGTAATATTTTTAATACAAGTCGATCGAGCGATCCAATTTTCATATTTAAGAATTAAAACAAGCACGTCAATCTAATAATTTAACGAAAATTAGTGAATAAGAACCCATTAATATGCAAAGAGCCAAAAGTGTTTTCTCCTATATCCATGCCAAAGGAGATAAACAAATATTCAACATGAAAAGGAAATGCAAATATAATGCGAGTGGAAACAAAATTATTGTAAAATCCGTCATAAATTAGGTGATGAAAACAATATATTAAGACATGGATCCAGTAAGCAAACGATGGGGAATTGAATCTAATGTTTGTGATTGGCGATGAAGGTGTTGAGCAGAGCAAACGCACTCTGCGGTTTATTCTTCGGAACTTCGTGGCCAGACCCTTTCACCGTGGCAAAAGTTAGACCTTCATAAACCACTTTGTATCCGGCGGTCACCTTCATCCATGCAAAAATAATAATTAAACACCATTGTGAAAATATTTTACATTAGGAGCGTTGGTTGAAGAATAATGGACGTCAATAATAACACAATAATCTTGTCATATACAAATATGTTAAATGTCCTACACCGGAAACATTTGGATGAACAAAGTGCTATATTAACACATGGGCTACTCCTCCTATCAGGTTGACCTTTTAGGATGGATCCCCGGGTTTTAACATGGTATCAGAGCCAAATCGATCCATGGTGTGGCGCCCCTTATGAAAAATGATGACACGATTATAAAAACGGCCGGATGAAAAAAATGGACCGATGAAAAAAAATGATTGATTGTACGATCCAGACGAAGTGTCTGGTCGTGAGGAGGGGTGTTAAATGTCCCACAACGGAAACATTTGGATGAACAAAGTGTTATATTAATACATGGGCTACTCATCCTATCAGGTTGACTTTTTAGGATGGAACCCCGTGTCTTAACAAAATATATATACACTTCATTCTTTTACTTATTTAGTAAATGGTCGATGGTAAACATTGACCGATAATATATTTACACGTGCAACATTTGTGATGTGAGAAAAATATGAAAAGCATGTTTCTTTCTTAAAAATACATCATTGAATATAATTCTAGAGCTAATAATTAACTTTATAAAGAGTTATTAATTTAAATAATTAATCAAAATTTAGTATCATTAACTGGAAAAGTTAAATATGGGTGATTAAAATCAGATAGAGGTAGCATGATTTTTCATTAATAAACCGTCATAGGCTCATAGCTAACCATTTTGTTTCAAAGAATCAATTAATAATTTGGGGAAAAGAATAATTAAGTCTAACTCATTACTTGTGTGGACTTGGAGCCATAGTGCCATGGATGCCAGGTCTTCAAAACTCTCAAGTTCATAGCATCTAGAGAATATCTAGTAGCTGTAACAGGCACAACTGCGTCCACATCACCACTGCAAGCAAAATATCAGTGTATCAATACATGCATGCATACACACACGTACATGTGCATGCATAATTAATACTTCCTTCGTTCTTTTTTAGTTGCAACAGTCAACATTTCACACTTGCCAACACACATCTTTGACCGTAATTATATCTTAATTCCTATTACTAAAAAATATTTAAAAATTAGATTTTGAAAATTTGTAATGAGATGAATTGAACAATATAATTTAAAAAAATAATTTTCATAAAATAATAATATAATATGTTGTCAAAGTAGAACATGTGAATAGTATTAAATTCAACATGTTGCGATTAAAAAGAGACGGAGGATAGTATGTAGGTGTATGAGAATATAATCCGGAGTATATCGATCATAAAGAGGTGTTGAGTTTCAAAACATGATTATAGTTTTGTTCGAGTAATTGTCACGCATCGATTTTTTATCAATATGGACAATATAAGATCTTGAACTACTTCTCTCAAATTAACTTTATAAAATGAAACGACATATATACCTTAATATGATATCATGCATATTTATGTTAAGTTTTTGTTTGACTATTTATTTAGTACCCGAAGATTTAGGGCAACTAGTTTAGGGTTCTTTAGCTCATTTATTAATCACCTCAAGTTGATTGATGTAACATTTTTTGGACACCGGTATTGTATGAATTAATAATAAACTAATCTGATCTGGAATACTTATATATGCTACTTGAAATCTTTCTTTTTCTTACTTAGCTTTTTCTTACTTAGATTGATGTAACATTTGTTGGACACCGGTATGAATTAATAATAGGTAACAACTCCGGTACCCATTTAAAAAATGGGGTACCGTACCTACCATGCATTTGATTGGTCCAAATTATTAAATCCCTTTTAATTTAGATTTAAATAATTCAACTACATGATTCTGATTGGCAGGGATGGATTTAGGGAGGGGGGGGGGGCGCGGGGGGCGACCGCCCCCCTTGGACTTTGAAAAATTTCTACCATATATATAATATTTTCATAAAACTTTCATAATCTAATAAGATTCGCCCCCTTAGCTTTTAATTTTCAAAATTAATATATAGTCTTACATAATGTAATACATAATTGGATATTTAAAAGAAAGAACATCTAATATAATTTACATAACTCGTTGTTTAAGATTTAGGATACTTATTATATAAGAATTCCTAGTTTTGTAATGTGTAATTATCTTTATTAGATAACAAGTACTCAATTTTGTAAAATATATATCAAACAATATTAAATACAAGACACACTAATTACACAGTTTTTAGATCACGTGAAATGAATCCAAAATATAAATATTTATTGACATTAAATTACATAATTCATTTACTTCTTGCTTTCTAAAAATAATTTATTGCATAGATAATAAAATTTAAATTATTATAGCATTAATACAAATATTAAAATATAATATGCACCATACAGTGTGTGTATGTGGTGCATATTATTCTAAAAATAATAATCTCATACATACTACTATTGTAATATTAAGAAAACTTCTCATGAGTCATGACTCACGAACACCCTCCTTGATGGACAAAAATTACAATTCAATAACCGATTCATAAGATTAAACAATATAGAAGTTATTAAAAATGTATTGGTTGATGTCTTTGTCATTGTCTAAATTTAGAATGTAATAGATTTATATGTCGTTGGGGGATATATATGTATTAATGTCATTTTTTTAATAAAAATAGCCGCATAATCCTACAGTAGTGAAAATTTTGCCCCGCTACACTAGGGAAAAAAAATTCGTCCCACTACACTAACGAAAAAAAAATTCACCCCATACACTAACGAAAAATTTCGCCCCCCTTGACCCAAAATCCTGGATCCGTCCCTGCTGATTGGTCCATGTGGACAAAGGTACGGTACCTTATGGGTACCATAGAATCTACCTTAATAATAAACTACTCTGGAATACTTATATATGCTATTTGAAACCTTTAGCCTTTTCTTAGGGTGTGCTTGGAGTCAATTTTTGGGGAGGAGGGGAAGACATGTAATGATTGGTGATCGATCCTTTTATTTGTGTTAGGGAGCTTTAAAAATGTGGAGGAATAGTTTTGGAAGGTTTTTTTGTAACCCTCCAAAACACCTCAATTGCTCACTTTTTTAATTCCTTCAAAATGGAGATTTGAAGGATAACTAATCAAATAATATAAGTTGAATTTTAAATGATGAATATCAATTCAACTATTTGAACTCATCATATCTCAGAAATAAATATCATTATAATTTCTTCTAAAATTATCTTTTTCAAGTTTATTACTCCCAAATAGAAGAAAAATTTCCTCACCTTCCACTCCATTTCCCCTCCAACAACTTACCTTCAAAACATTCCCCTCCCTTTCCCCCACTCACAAACACACCTTTAGAGGTGTTTTGCATGTATAGTAAGTAATCAATATGGTATTAATTTTTTCTTTATATACATGATTAAGAATTCCTAGTCATATGTATGACTCCTTGTAGATAGATATATTGTCAATATTAGGGCTGCACAAGAATAACCCGAACCCCCATAACCCGCCCGACCCAACCCTACCCGACCCTATTTAATCGGGTATTTGATTTTTAAAAATATTCATGGGTTAAATATGTTTGAACCTGCACCTAATGGGTAGGATTGCAGAAATAAAATCTCAAACCCGATAATACCCGACCCGGCCGAAGTTCATTTTACTATTATTATGCTGCAACGTTTTCTTGGATGATTTCAATTTAAGACCAATGTGCTCTATCTAGGACTTTCTGATATTAGAATTATAATTAAACATTTATCATTCTGGTTAGGTGATTATTATATATTTACGTTTCCTTCTAAATGAACTTCCTTTACGGAAGGATGTTTTAATATTATTACCTATTGCTTTTGCTTATAAAAGATACAAGTACTTGTATTTGTTTGTATGCTTTGGAAACAAGTTAATCGAGTTTTAAATTGGTTACATTAATTTCCCACATAAAAGATGCCACCCGGAGTGATTTTTCCACCCAATACCCGACCCTACCCGACCCGTTCCTGCATGGTTTACCAACTTATTTTGCGTACCGCGGGTTGGTTAATAGTCAACCCGAACAAATCGGGTAGGCCCAAAAAATATAGCAAACCCGACCCAACCCGCTCGATGTGCAGCCCTAGTCAATATATTATATATTTCATCCGTTCTCTTTTAATTGCAACAGTCAACATTTCACGTTTGCCAACGCACATGTTTGACCATTAATATCTTTCATTCCTTATTAGTAAAAAACTTAAAAAATTCGTATTTTGAAAATTTAGAATGAGAAGAATTTAACAATATTTTTTAAAAATTTAATATATAATACATTAATTGATAAAATATAGTCAAAGTAGAATATGTGAATAGTGCAAAAAGTCTAATGTTGCAATTAAAAGAGAACGGATGTAGTATATACTTCGTATATACGTAGTATAGAGAGAGATATAGAGAAAGTAGAAGTTTCAATCACATACCTAAAAATGAGAATTTGAAGACGAGATGCAATTAACCTCTTATATATCGGGATCATTGTAAGTGGGCTGTCTATCCATTTCGTAATCACGGGACTTCAGCAATGTAACAAAATCAAACAATATGATTTATACATATGATTATAATAACAAATAAACTAAAGCGCGAGCTGGCGTGTAATATTTTTTTTATTGAATGAGCCACTACATTAAAATCAGAGCCAAAAAAATGAAATATAGAGCAGACCGACCGACCTGCATGTGCTCCAAGGGAAGGGAAGCTTGGTGGTGTTGGCATGCAAAGCTTGTTGCACCTTTGGGAGATTGAGGTATTTCCTGGCATAACCATGTCCACAAACATAGTATCCGTAAATCTTTTTATTTTTTATGTCAGTTGAAGGACTATTAGAATCCAAACACAAGGGGCCATAGATGTTGTAAGGATCTATATTATCTCCGATCTCTGTATTCATTGCATTCGAGAAGTCAGAACATTCTTTGCTGCTAGTGTTTGTGAGACAGTACTTTTCCAGCCCTAGATGAGTTTCATCAGAGATTAGGGCATGGCTCCATAAGTAGTCAAAAAGTCCTTTACTGTCGGTGTCATCATTTAGTATCCCATTTCCTATCTACAAAAGTCAAACCAAGGAAATAGTAGGGATTAATTAACACATAAACACACACATCATACTCCCTCCTTCCCCCAATTAAGTTCATGCTTTGATTTTTGGGAAAACTGTCAAATAGGTCCTCGAACCTTCATAAAAAAGTCAATTAAGTGCTTCTATAGGAGACTCTGTCCAGTCGTCGCGATTTGGGGCGGTTCCAGGTGGAATTTTTTGATGAAATTTTTTGAGCATCTTATTCATCAAGTCTAGTTTACTCATACCAAATTTCAGATAAAAATTCAATTGGGAGCGCATTCAAATTAATTCGAGAACGCAAAAATGCGCAGTTATCTTCAAGAATTAATTTGAATGTGTTCCCGATTGAATTTTTAGCTGAAATTTGGTATGAGTAAACTAGACTTGGTGAATAAGATTCTCAAAAAATTTCATCAAAAATTTCCACCGGGAACTGCCCCAAATCGTGATGGCCGGACAGAACCTCCTATAGAAGAACTTAATTGATCTTTTTTATGAAAGTTCGAGGACCTATTTGACTGTTTTCCCTTGATTTTTTGGATCAAAATTTATTAATTTCGACTGTTTTTGATGTACTCACAATTCTATTATACTATATGTTCTTTGTTAAATGTCAACATCTTTAAACTAGGATGAGTTTCGACCCTGTGACTTCTTCCTTTGGAGTGTCACAATGATGATATCGAATCACAAGGTGTTTGTCACATCCATTCTTAATTATCAAATTAAATTATTTTATAGCATGAAAGTACTTTTGATGAATACTTTATATTAATATATAGGGAAATAGTAGGAGTAAAAAGGTTTGAAAATTCCAAAATAGTACTATTATGTTTTTATTTCCAAAATTGGAATTATTACTGTCAAGTTTAGAAAATATTGTCATGTTTAAAGTCAGATACTGCCAAAACATGGCAATAATTTGTTCTATTTTGAAAATAAAAACATGATAGTCTTATTTTGAAATATACAAGGGTTTTTAGACATATTTAAGGTAATTTCCTATATATACATAGGGAGTATTATTGATCTGAAATGGTAATATATACTCCGTAATACTTTTTAGATCAGTAGTACTCCGTATGATCTTAATTAAATACAGTACTAATAGTCAAACATGGACTTCTGCGACCATGTAAATCAAACTAGAGACTTTAATAAGAGACTAAAGAGATGAGGAAGGAGTGTGTATGTGTGTGTGAGTGTGTGTATATATATATATTTATATATATATATATATATATATATATATATATATATATATATATATATATATATATATATATATATATATAATATGGATCAAATAAAAAGGGCTTCCTAGGTGAAAAGTAAGAACTAATCTTGGCCATTGATATGAAAAAATGGATGGAAGAGATCAATTTTTAAGTGAAAAACGCGGTGGCATTTTCGTAATTATGAGGAATTTTTAATTAAAATGTTATACAAAAAGTGTACACGAATATGCAAAAAGTGTACATGTAGATCACAAAAGTGCATAACGGTACATTAAAAAATGTGCACAAGTTAAAAAAATTGGCAATCTTTTTTAACACCCAAGAGTGCACTTTTAGTCATTTAATATCCACTTTGTATAATAAACATTTGCACATTATTTGACTCCGTGTCTTGTGATTAAAGTTAATCTAATCCATTCATTTACAAGTGATTAAAGGCTAAGATTTGTTCTCACTTTTCATGGGAAGACTACTTTTTACTTGAACTCTTCCATATATATATATATATATATATATATATAGGGGCAAGATCACATGCAAACTAGTCCTTCCATACAAAATACAAACTAATCTCATGCGTCCGTTTGAGTGAAATAAATGACATCCGTATGAGATGCATGGTAGCACTCCGCAGATGACATACATGGATTAATAATAAAGTCATGAATTTTTAATGAAACGGTTGGTTAGAGGGATGATATGGTCATTTGAAAAATAGAAGTGGCGGACTACTATAACTATCTAAGGAAATAATTTAATGACTAAATCCCATGATTAAAAATATGAGCCACATACAGATGGCAATCCCAAAAATTTAGCTAACCCCCACCACTAAGATTTAAACCACACATGTTTAGCAAATCTAAAAAAGGAAAAATGCAATGATTAATGTATGTTGGAATTTTTAGCCATCAACAAAGGTTGCAATAACAAATCCAATTATTCTTTATTTTAGGAACTATCTAATTGTCACTTTTGGGAATTATTCAAAATTTCACAAAAAGTAAAGAGACATTTATATACTTCATATTTGATTTTAATAATTATTCTCTTCCTAATTAAAATTTCATTTTTTTAAATTTAAAATATTAAGGTTATGGAATGTGCATTATATATTGATAACGTGTGCATGGTTTATATTAGAACTTATACCATATTAAGTTTGTGTGAAGTCAACACAGATAGAAGTGACTGCGCTATATTAAGGTTCCGGGATGTGCATAGTAAAATTACTGGATGTGCATATTAAGATTACATGATATGCATTATATATTTATAGTGTCTCTATGACTTATATTAGAACTACATAGTGATAAAATATGTCGATGTTGCATTGTAGTAGTTCATACCTTGCAATTTATCATTATCACATGTGCGTTTTAGAAGTTTGTGCATTGCACTCTATTAAAAAGCTATGTGCGCTTTAGAAGTTCATACTGCATCTTATCACTATGACATCTGCATTTTAGGAGCTCATATGTTGCATTTTATTAACATTATGACATGTATTTAGAAGTTCGTATATTGAACTTAATTGTTCAATTATTGCATTTTAGTGATTCATATGTTGCATTTTGTCACCATGACATGTGCATTTTAGAAGTTCTTATATTAAACTTTAGTAAGATGATATGTGCATTTTAATAGTTTATACTGCATCTTATCGTTATAACATATGCATTTCAGTAGTTCGTAGGTTGCATTTTATCATCAAGACATGTGCATTTTAGAACTTCGTATATTACACTTTAGTAAAATTATAATAAGTGCACTTTAATACGACGGCGTGTGCATTTTAGATGTTTATGCAATGCATTTTAGTAAGATGGCATTAGAAGTTCATTTCAAGCATCTTATCATTATGATATCTGCATTCTATATTAGAATGACATGCATACATAAGCTAGGAGATCACCGAATGCATAATACATGAGGACCATGTTCTAAATGGCAAACAATTAAAAATAAAATTCATACTGAAATTACAAGAGAATTTCAAGCACAAGACTGCTAAATTGATATGAAAACCATTGCAAAACAAGTAAGTTAAAAAAATCTTTTCAAAAGATGTCCGGATGGCTTTTACGCACCAGCATGCATAAGAAATTCAAGAATTTTGCATTAAAAATGGAGAAAAAATGAGATGAAAATGGAGATGGAGATGGGGAAACAATCCGGCGTGCACATCAGATTCCACTGCGATATCGGAATCCATGGCGTTCAAGAACATACGCTCGCCTTGTGCGTGCCAGAATCCACGACGTTTCAATAGAAGAACATCAAATAAATTCTATTAAATTTGAGAAGCAGATGAAGATAGAGATGGAATCCATGTCATTCGAAGATAAGAACACAAATCAAATTCTATTAAATTGGAGATGGAGATGGAGAGGGAGATGGAAACATAGGTAGAGATGAAGACGAAGATGGTGTGGAGGAACGCAGAGATCTATTGTAATGGAAAGGAAACTTAGTGTTATTGAAGTGGGAGAATCAATTGTGATTTGCTTTCCATAATTAAAAACAAAGCTAAAAGACAAAAGGACCCTCAACTATCTAAAATAATAATCCTGCTAATTCCATCAAAACGTACGGTAGATCAAGTAAATTGGATGGCCACGATTAATTTGTATTTTGTAAATTAAGAAGACTTTGTACATGATCCTTAATCTATATATATATATATATATATATATATATATATATATATATATATATATATAATCACACATATAAGCATGTTACGTTGAATAGTAAAAGTTTTATGTGCGTGGTTAGTTATTAACTTGTTAAACTTTATTGGATATATATAGTGATCGATCTTCAAATGTGGTAAATTATACTTTTAAATATTAATACTACGTATGATATACTAGTAATATTAAAATCATTGTGAAAATTACTTTTTATAATGTGTAATAAGGTTTATAACTTTAAAACGAACCTTTTATAGTTACAATAAGTCAATAACTATACATATGTACTACGTACCATGATTCCCTTGAGTTGGATCTTTATGGTTGTTTTGGACAGCTTATTGCTCGTGACAATTAAATCAGCAAGTTGTGGGATGTAGTGTCCTGTGACATGCGCGATTAATTAGAAAGCTCATCTTTTAGTGGATTTTTAAATAATTAAGAAAAAAAGGCTCATGCATGTCAAGCTTATTTAGATTGACCAATAATAGTCTTGAATTATAATTACCTGCATAGCTTTCTCCAATAATGTAAAAATCGCGATTCTTGTAATGTGGGTATTTTCTCAACCAATTGATGATGAACTTGTAAGCATCTTTAGCTGTTACCAGAGGATTAATTTATATGAGACCAAGGGCATTATTGTAAACTAGCACTAGTGAGCACTACGACAATTGATAGTTGAGCAATACTAAATGACTACATTTTAATTGC